GGGTTTCAATGTGGACATTTCTCAGGGTTGCAAGTTAATTTTTTTGTACCTGTTGTAAAATTTGCCTGCTGTATGAAAGGAAATAAAAGTACATTTTTAATAATTCAATCAACCCAAGCTCATTCTGGAAACGTAGCCCCGCGGACGTTTCTGGAGACCGCGTTTTACGTGGCCGGAGGTACGTAAAGGCCGCGTTTGGTTTTTTTCGAGCGAACGCTGCGGGGCGGTGTGGCGCCGCTCCGCCCCTCCTCTTCGCGCTCGCCGGCGACAGCTCGCCTCCGAGTGGAGGGCTTTCCCGATTGCAATCAGTTTGTCCGCTTAGCTCACAGCGGTGCGTCGGCGGAGCGGAGGCCCCGGAGGAGGAGCCAGAGCCGGCCGTGGTGGACGACGACCGGGATCGATTCCGGGGAACAACAGGCTCCAGAAATCAGGTAAGACGAAAAACGGAATCCGAAAAATAAGGGCGAAAACGCGGCCGAAATCGAAGACGAGGGCTTTTGCTTTTTTTTTTTCCCGATCAGCCGGCTTTTCGCGCGAGAACGGCACGGGCGCGAACGCCGCGCGCTCCCATGAGGCGCCCGAGACGCGAAAAAGCGCACACAGCGGCCTCTCGCGGATCCGGGAAAACAAAAAAACGCTCGAATACGTACCTCCCGGGACGTAAATCGTGGTCCACAGAAACGTCTGCGGGGCTACGTTTCCACAATGAGCCCGGGTTGAATTCAATTCAATACCCCAGCTCATTGCAGATACAAACCTAGGTCTACATTTCTGGGGACAGCAAAATACATAATCTTAAGTGCGTCTGCTTGCAGTCTTTGTTTTTGCAAATCCACCAGAGGCTGCTGTGTACGCTTTTTGATTATCACAAATTTCTCTCACATGTTCTCTTCTCAAATAAATCCACCAGAGGGTGCAATATAAACTTCAGTCGACCAGGGGTGCGTTTCCCAAAACCATCGTTAGCCAACTACAAACATAATTCACTAATCCATCGATGCAACGAACATTTGCAAATTGAGTCGCAAACTTGAGCACTTGAAACTACACCTTTGGAGCTGTAGTTAGGAACATAGTTCTTGGCTGTGTTCTATTCCAACTTATCCCCCCTATGCCCTGATCATTTAGAACATTCTAACATTCAAAGTTGGAATTATTAAAAATAAAAAAGCATTAAGGTCTTCTCTATTAGGTATAATTTGCTTTCAAAGTATTTTCATAGTTCAGTTTTAGCTATCTTCGTGTTTATAGTTATGCTCCCTTCGCAGTGCACTTTAAAACCATTGATGTCATTTTAAACACAGCCTCATGGCAAAAGCTAGGTGACCTATTATTTAAAAGCAGAATCTTGAATGTTACGTCTCCAAAGTTTGTAAAAACAACAAACACAGCATACGTTAATTCCTTAATTTTATAGTTTGTTATTTATTACTGTATATGACGTGGGCCTGTTGGTTAGAACCTTCTGCTGTGATTTTTATGTGTCAAATTGTAAGGTAGACTTTTCAAAAAGAAATTTAAATAAATAAACAACATCCTATTTAATAATAATAATAATAACAATAATCATCATCATCATTAATATCATTAATATTATTATTAAAGTAAATATATTTATAGAAAATCAACCTCATTATTTATTTATTTATTTATTTATTCATTATTTATTTATATGATTTATATATGATATTAGAATAGTGTTATCTTTTGTAAATGATTTTATGTTTTAGAATAAAATATGGAATGTTTAACATTTCAGTAATATTAGCAAAGCAAACATGGCCCTAGAGTGCATGTTTTATCAAAACTAATATTGGATTTTATTTTAAATGCGTGTTTGTGTAAAACAATATAATTTGCACAAAGAAATGATGGGCTTCTTCTCAAGAGAAGTTGTTACTCTACCTTGTTTGGATTATGTGCCCTCCAGAAACTTGCGTTCTGTGAATGAACGTCGCCTCGTGGTTCCATCCCAAAGAGGGAAAAAATCACTTTCGCGAACGCTCACGCTCAATCTGCCCAGTTGGTGGAATGAACTCCCTAACTGCATCAGAACTGCAGAGTCACTCGCTATTTTCAAGAAACGACTAAAAACTCAACTATTTAGTCTCCACTTCACTTCCTAATCTGCAATTGCCTCTTTGAATATCACACTAACTGTACCCCCCCAAAAAAAAAAAAATACTAATACTACTAATACTTCCCTTCTTAGACTTTACAGACCTGAAACTTGCCTACAGCACTTATTCATTGTTGCTCTTAGTTGTGTAAATTGCTTCCTTGTCCTCATTTGTAAGTCGCTTTGGATAAAAGCGTCTGCTAAATGACTAAATGTAAATGTAAATGTATGTCTTATTGTTTTTAGGATGGATCATGAAACCAGCTTGATGATGGTTTTTATGAAGTGTAATGAGCACATTAAAGCTCATTAAAAGTGTGACAATATTCCCATCGCTGCTTTAGTTTACACTAGTTATGGTGCCATTACTGAATCTCTGAGTATTTTCCAGCATGGCCAAGTAAGAAGGAAGTAGCATGTGCAGTGAATGAAAAGCCCAGTGTGCACCATAGTCTTCAGGGTTATGAAGGGAAGAGAGCAGATAAGACAGACTGCGTTTCCCAGGAGGCTTTGCTATCTCCACCAGTCAGCCAGACATTCAGAACGGGTCATTCAGTTTATTCAGACACATGCTGACAAAGCCAAAAACACACACACGCACTCACACATTCACGTACGTTGAACGTTGTTCAAACAAACACGCTCTGTCACATACATTTCCCTAGTCACTCACCAACAAGCCTCAGAGTTGGGTTAAGCTTTGGTTTTAAATAGGACCTTTTTTACTTTCCTCTGTCAGTCTCAGATCCAATATGACTCCCACAGATGGACCTGGCCTTAATTTGCAGAGCCACAATGGCTGATGAAGAGATACCTCAAATGAGATTCACAGCTGTCGTTTTCCCATTTCTTCAGAGAAATCGGTACAATAGCGGATTTCAGCAAAAGACACGGCATTCAGACTTATGATTATAGATAGGTTTTGAGTAACAATAGGCCGAAGACACAGATTCGAGGTGTCAGAGAAGGTGAGAAGGTCTTCATAAATCTTCTTTTATATAGCGAAATTTACTGAAAGGACTGTGAAGAATGGGACTGAGAGAAATCAGTCTGGCTGCTATTGATTTGTGCTTTGGTTCCCAGACATGTAGAGATGTATAATTTATGGAGCTGTCTTGGGAACGCTGTGTGATCTGGGATGAAACTTCAAAAATGTTTCAATGGGCTTGGGTTTGGGTGGACAATACGGCCAGAGGAATGTCTTATTGAATTTGTGGATCTGTGATTGGGCTTGACAAGAAAGGATGTTCATATTAATGGCATAGTTTTTATAAGCAAATATAAAAGCGAAAGGGATTGGCTCTTTTATTGTAAACCTTATTTATTGGTTTGTTTGTCTTTTTGTTTGTTTTCTAGCTCTTTTTATTATGGTGCACACTTTCCATGACATTTACAGTTTGTTGGGTTCATTAGTAGTTCAACAGTTAACAAATCAAAAACCCAATAACAATTCAAAAGATTTTTATTTTTTATTATTAATTTATTATTTTTTAATTTAATTAAATTTAGATAATTTAATTAATTAATTAATTTAAATTTTTAATTATTTCTGGGGTTTTCATTTGGGTTAAAACATTTTAAGGGATCAGATTTTAATCCAGTACATACTGATTCATTTTTCCATCCAAGTTACAGAATTCACAGAAGTAATAGGTAAATAAATGTGAAAAATTAAAAAGATATATAATAATAAATATATATTTAAGGGTGGCGCAGTGGGTAGTGCTGTCGCCTCACAGTTAGAAGGTCACTGGTTTGAGCCTTGGCTGGGTAGTTGGCATTTTTATGTGGAATTTGCATGTTCTCCCCATGTTTGCGTGGATTTCCTTCATACACTCTCATTCACACATATACACTACAGACAAGTTTTAGCTTACCCAATTCACCTGTACTGTATATCTTTGGACTTGTAGGGGAAATCGTAGCACCCGGAGGAAACCCACGCGAACGCAGGGAGAACATGCAAACTCCACTCAGAAACGCCAACTGATCCAGCCGTAGCTCTGTGTGCCCCAAGCCAATAATAATAAATAATTATTATTATTATTATTATATTGAAAAATATGTATTATATCATAAAATAATTCAAAATAATGCAATATATCTTTTATTATTATTTTTTATTATTTATTTGAAATCATCATTTTTTTTTCATCATGGTTAAAAACATTTTCATATTTCAGATTTTAACCTAGAAGTACATTACATAATTCAAGTAATTAATAGTTAAATAAATAAAATAAAAAATTAAATTAAATTAAAAAATAATTAAAAAGATTGTCAATTAAGACATTTATTATGCACCATATAAAATATGCACAAATTAATTTTAAATAGACTTTTACAATAATTGTAATAAATATTGTTCTTTTGAACTTCCAATTCATCAAAGATTCTGTATCAAAGTTTCCACAAAAAAAATAAATAAAAATAAAATAATAAGCAGCACAACTGATTGGCTAATAAAAATAAATGAACCTTATGTGCATTAGGGTCATTTTTGAATGATTACAGGACACTAAAGAAACAGCCAAAGAAAAGCAAATCTTTGCCATCACAGGAACTTTATATTATATATTTTAAAATATTTTGGATTGGAAAGCAGTTGCATTTTTATAATATATCTTATATTACAGTTTTGCTGTATTCTTAATCAAATAGCCAATTCCTCTTTGACGCATAGGCTATAGACTTCAAATATTTTAATGTGAATATATCAACGTTGCAACATATATATTTTAATGAAAATATGTCACTGTATTGTATATTGTATATGCAATTTGTACATAATGTGTTGTATATAGCATCTGGAAACTACACATTTTAAATGTTAGTTGATACAGTATGTCATCCTTTAAAATGTCTCTGCTGTTGCTCACAGGTCGCCAGACGTGTCCGCCAGAGAAGTTTGACTGTGGCGGCTCAACCAGCAAGTGTGTGTCTTTGTCATGGCGCTGCGATGGAGAAAGAGACTGTGAAAATGGAGCAGACGAGGAGCAGTGTGCCGCAGGTAAGACCACAGAGAGAAAAAGAATTGGCTAAAAATAGAGCCTGTTTGGATAATGCATAGTCAGACTTCAGTGCGGTATGTGGGTGAACTTAATGGAGCGAGGTGTAGGTTGGGTGTGCATGTGTGTTCGTGTGTGGATTTTTGAGTGTGCCAGGGCGTGTGTGTGTGTTGGGGGGGGGGGGGGGGGGTGCTTGTGTGTGCGCGAGTGCATGGAACACATGAAACACTGATGTTGGAAGTTATCGTCGATCGATGTTCAGGAAAGATATTACAGATTGCCCTGTTATAAAAATTGGATGAAATTTTTGTAACACTTCCTATGACGCTCATGCTTGTAATGAATTATAACTCTGTTTATGATTATTTATAATCGAGCATAATAATTCTAAAAATGTATTTATGTAATGCATTTATAATAGTGGTATTAATACTTATTGGTAATTTATTTTATTGTTCAATATACAGTTGAAACCAGAGGTTTACAAACACTCTAAAAAAAAGCAACATAACCATTTTTTTTAAATGTCTGATGGTAAAGTATACTAAACATTTACTCTATTAGGTCCGTTAGGATTACCTAAATGATTTACATTTGCTAAATGACAGAATAATGAGATTTATTTTTTTTGATAGTTTTTCATTTAATTCTAGACAGTCAAAAGTTTACATACATTTCCTTGGTATTTTTTAGCTTTGCTTTTAAACGTATAACTTTGGTCAAATGTTTTGGGTATCCTTCCACAAGCTT